AAATGACTCGAGTAAACTATAATAAACCTTAAGCATCAAATACATGTCTAAATCTTGTCGAAACCAAAGCTATTCTCGAATGTTCGTCCTTGTGTTTACCGCCATTCTCAAAATTTTTCTCATTCTCGTCACTCATTCTCATCTCTCCCTCTCTCTCTCAAATTGTATATGTGGCTATTATATTTGTCAAGAAGTATAATTTTAGGCAGTGAACAACGTTACGACAGTGTCTAGTGAAAAGCGACAGTCATCCGTGGCAAACATTTCGTTAATCATTATGCATTTCACCTGTGAATACCCGTTCTTACTAGCAAGAGAACAGCAGCGCAGCAGCAGCATAGCCAACACCACGATCATCAGCAGTTGTAACAGCACCAACAGCAACACCACCACCAGCACTACAGGCTGATAACATAATCAGTACCGCAAATGCAACAGCTAAAACATCACCAACAGAAAAATAATCTGCAACAGCAACAGAGTTAGAGACAACAGCACCAATGTTACTAGCACTTTAACATCAACAGCAGCACCAACATCAGCACCATAAAGGCACCAACATAATTTGCAGCAACAATAATAAAGAAACGAGAGGAATACCCTACCAGCATCACAACTACCATCAGCAGAAACACCAGTAGCATCATCCTCAGTGACAAAAGCAGCAACAGCGGCAGCAGAAACAAGCAATAAACGGGAGGAAGGTGCATCATGCGCTGAGGTAGATGAAAGTAAAGACGAAGCAGAAAGAACAGCTTCTCCACCTCCCTCTCTCTGAAACAGGACCACACGGGAGAGCCTGCCAGGTGCCTTCTACTTCCAGGGCAGAGTGCAACTCACCCTCTATCATCACTTTCGTTGCCGCTGCCATCTCTAGCACCATTACCACCACTACTGCCAACACCAGCATCATCACTACCATCACCACTGCTGATACTGTAATGTACTACCAGAGTGTCATAGATTGCTGTCAGCATGATTACAGACTATGCTCATCGAGAAAGGTGTTATTTAATCTAAAATTAGCTTGCAGCGGGACAAGGTGGTTGGCTGGAGAGGCTGGGAAAGCAGCAGTGTCAGGTGCCAGAGGTTCATATGAGATTACGTCAGCATCGATGATCATATTACTGAAACAGCATTCAGGATCCTTAACCAGGACTTCAAATAATATACACAATATATGTGAATTTAATAATAGAGTATGCAATAAACCATGCAATGTACAGAATGCATTATCATCCTCATAACCAAGCGCTAAACACTTAAGGGTCATATAGCACAGAATGCTGTAGACACAAAGATTTGTCACTAGGGTAAATTTGAGAGAGAAATGACCGTGCATAACACTGGAACGAAGGAACATAGGCGACATGTTCACAACATACCAAATACTCAGAGCTGATGCAAATAGATTACCAAGTAAAACAAGTTAGAAAGTACCTTTACAATATAAGAGAAATGAAAAGTGGAATCAATTCAGAAGAGAGGCAGAGGAGGGTGACTATATACATGGCTTCAAAAACGGGTATGACATGACTAAACTAGACCAGTCGACTGAAAGTTTAGAGGCGGACCCAACAACTTGGGTGACTTGCATGTTCTTGGGCTGTAAGGAAGTCTTTCATGCCATGCCATATAGAAGGCTACTTAGTAAATCAGAGAAACTGATACAACGAGAAAAGTACTATCATGAATTAAAGAATGCTTAAACGATAAACAACAAGAGTAATGATAATCTGATGAGCAATTTTCATTTACTTCCTGGTTATGAATTAAACACCTGATGAAGATTCAGCATAATAATAATAAAAGTTAAGCGCTAAACCCGAAGATTCAGCATTAGAACGGAAAGGCAACTGAGTATGCACACTACATAGTTCTTTAATTAATAACCTCAAGAGAAAATGATGGAAAAAATGAAGAAATAAAAGACACGATTAATGTGCCACTCTCTTGAAAAGACTGAAGGAGACAACATTGTTGTATACCGTAGACTGTTGGTATTTTTGCTAGTTTACGCCACTCATACTATTATGGGAGACAGTATCATTTTGAACCATATACAGCACAATACTCTGTATAATAAAATTAAGTTTGAACATTCCTGGTCTTATGCCAGTAATGTGTCATTTCTCTCATTTTATCAGATATGATTTGAGAATATTTAGTGTTACATGGAACTCTTAGCCAGTAGCTAATTTCTTACTTGACATAACCTTGAATCATGATTTCTGTCTATAAGGTTTGTATTCACAGTCAATGATATGATTTATTTCATTAGTTCTGCTTCTAGTACAACTTGGCTAACGTAAACCCATAATTTGCTCAATTACTGACTGCCAGGTACTCACTGTTAGTTTGACACCGAATAAATACTCACCTTCCTATGATCTTTCCTTGGAACGCTGAATTATTTAATGTTAATCTTGTTTCTTTGGAACTTAATGAAGAAAAATATTAGTATTACATAACAGTCAGTGTAGAGGTAAAATATCAATAATTTAACAATTTTAACAATATGCTTTTCACTTTATTTACATAACAGTGCATACAAAGTACATCTTATCAAACATTATTTGACTACAACTAAGCTAGCAGTTAGTAACAGTTCAGAACAACGCGAATAACTAGGAACATACGAGATACACATTTCCCTTGCAGGGTACGTCAGCACTTTGTACTTGCCCATCAAGAATACTGCCTTTGTTCGACACACGAAGGCTGCGGACCATCAGCATAGTTTGTGATAATCCTCAGCCGAGATTTCTATAACTATCAGTAGAATTCTTGGTAATACTCAGCACAGTCTGAGCATTATTAATAACTTTAGATCATAAAAATTGTCAGCATGTTTGTGGAAATCGTCGTCAATATAGGTTTACAGCTGGTTCCTCTTAGCAAGAACAACTGCAAGATTCTCCACGTTAGGGATCGTGCCATAGTTCCTGGTACCGCTGCTGGAGCTGAATTTGTTCGACGTCTGGAAAGAGCTGCTGGAGAATGTGTGTGTACTACTCCCACTGCCAGTACGAAGATAATTTCCTGTCAATTTGTTTGGTGACGAAGTGAAAGTAACACCTGAAGGAATATCGGAGGAACCTACCACGCTTGACCTGTCACCACCAGACAGAAGAGACAAGGTGCTGGCTCCAGGCAAGGCAACTTTACTAGAAGATCCACCGGAAGAGCTGGAATGTTTAAACGATGAACTAGAAAAATATCTAGAGGCAGAGCTTCCCGCTGATCCAGAATTAATAGCACCAGAAGCTGCTTGGAATGCAGAATGGACAGTAGGTGCTCCGGAAGCAGTGCCATGACCTGCCAGGATCACTCCACCATCGCCCTGACCGGAAACACCAAAGCTGGATCCACTTATAGATGAAAGTTTAGAACCTGGTCCAGCAGAGAAACGAGAACCAGAGATACCCGACACTTGAGAGTTGGACACTTTAGAGATAATGCTTGAGCCAATGGAGCTGCCTGATGAAATTCCAGAACTGGAACTAATGGAGCTGCCAGGTGAGAATCTAGAACTAACACCACTGGTACTACCAGAAGAATGCCCAGAACTGTGACCATTAAATGTGCTCGAAGAGGATGAGAGAGACTCGTCAACTGCACCAGAGTTTGCAAGATTTTGGACTGTTTCGCGACTAAGAGTAGTTTTAGTTGGAACGCTCTCACTGGAGCCACCGGTGGGACTAACAGAAGAGTGCACAGACCCTTCGCCTGGTGAGCTGCCTGAAGAGAATCCAGAACTATGACCTGTGGAACTGCTAAGATGATGCCTGGTACTATGCAGGGAAACCTCAGACCTGACGCCAGTGGGATTTTGGGAAGAGAATCCAGAAAGTGAACCAATGGAGGTAGAACCAGTAGACCCAAAACTACTAGAACTATCAGAAGACAAACCAGATATGGAACCAGTGGTGCTCCCTGAAGAAAATCCGGAACCAGTAGATGTTTGGAAGGTTGCATGACCACTAGAAATTCCGGCTGGAATACCTTGGCCAGCCAGAATTACTGCTGCACTCTCACCGCCCTGACCAGCCAAAGACCCAGGGGTAGTCCTAGATGAAGAAGAAAGTTTAGTACCGGAGCTTGATCCAGTAGATAAATTAGAGCTGGAAATGCTAGGAAAACTGAGTGTTGGAATCACTAATAGGGCTACTTAAAGATAGTCCGGAACCAACACTATTCGAGCTGCCTGGAGAGAATCCAGAAGAGTGTCCAGAAGTGACACCAGTGGAGGTTCCTGAAGAAAATCCAGAAACATCAGCGGAGTTGCCCGAAGAAAGTTCATATTTAGCACCTATGGAGCTACTTGAAGAATGTACAGAATTGACATCACTCAAGCTACCTAAGGAGGATTCAGAGGTGTGAGTAGGTCCTGTGTCAATAGATGTTTTGAAGGCTTCCTGACCATGAGTATTTCCAGAAGTAAACACAGAACTAGAACCCGTAGAAATGCCTGAAGGCAACCCAGAACTAACACTAGTAAAGGTACCTGAAGAGAATCCAGAGCTGATGCCCCTTGTACCAGCCCCATTAGAAGTCTGGAAAGCCTCTTGACCGCGAGGAATTAAGGCCGAAGCGCCTTGATCAGCTGCACTATTATCGGCCGTGCCAACAGACAACCCAGAGCTCAACCCATTTACTGATGAAACTCCAGAGCCGGAGCTTGATCCGGCAGAGAAGTGAGAACCAGTGGTACTAGAAAACTGAGTACGCGAGCCGCCTGTGGGATCACCTGAAGAAAGTACTGTAGCCGTACCTACAAGGCTGCCTGCAGATATTCCAATGGAACTTTCAGGTAATAATCCAGAAGTGACACCCAGTGAGCTGCTTGGAGAGAATTTAGTACTAGTTCCTGTTGTACCAGTACCTGTAGAAGTGGGGAAAGCTGCATGACTACGTTTAACTCCGTCCGGAATACTGTGGCCAGCCAAAATCACTGCTAGACTCTCACCTGCCTGGAAAGAAGATCCAGAGCTGGAATCAATCGAGAGGGGTGAAACTTGTAATGCAGAACCTGATCCAGTAGAAACAAGAGAGCCAGAGGTACTGAAAGGCTGGGAACTCAGCGCACCACCGAAGCCTGCCGGAGAGGACCCAGAACCTGGTCCACTAGAGCTTAAAGATGCGACACAGAACTAGAAAAACCTGGGCTTCGGGATGGAAATTCTGTACCGGAAGAGCTAGAGCTTCCAGTTGGTAACCGTGAAGTAGCACCAAATGAGTTAAATGAAGAGGATCCAGGATTAGCACTACCTCTGTTAGAGCCAGTAGAAACCTGGAGGGCAGCTTGACCTCGAGTAACTCCAGATGGAAGCCTCTGGCCAGCCAAAATCACTGCTAAACTGCCACCGACCTGACCAGCGGAAGCCCCAGAGCTTAACCCACTTGCAGAGATGGATGGAAATCTAGAACCAGAACTACCTGATGAAAATCCAGTAGAACCAGTGGAGCTCCCAGATGCTGATCCAGAACTGGAAACACCAGTTATGCCTACTGATAATCCAGAGCCACTGGGGTTTCCAGAGGAGAAACCAGAGCTGACACCATTGGAACTGCCAGTTCCTAAAGAAGGCGAACCAGGGGAAGAACCAGAGGTGACTCTAGAGGAGTCACCGAACCCTGGTGCCTTTGACGAGTCTGTAAAACCGGACGACTGAATTGAAGATCCTGAATTTCCCGTTTCAGAAAGTACATTGTTGACTTCTGGTAGATTATAGAGAGAACTGGTTCCTAGTGGAGGGGTCTTTATCTCAATCTTGGTGGCGGGAATTAACGACACAAAACTAGTGTCTTTCTGATTAAAGTTTGCTGAGCCTGTCGATACATCAGGGGCAAAAGGTGCACTCGAGGAGAGAGATGGTGCATTTCCCGACCCACGAGAAGTCCCAATAAGGTCTGCGGAGCCGAACGGATCACTAGTGGAACCGATTGAAGAACCGGACGATCCGCTATTGGAATCAAACGAACTGGTGGTGGAGAAACCCGATGAACTGCTTCCAGCGCCACTGGAAGAGCCGAAAGAGACACTTTGGCTTGGTAGGACAACTGGCACACCTTCAACTACCTGACTAGAAGATGACCCGGTGCCTGATCTAGTTGTACTGGAGGCAAGGCTCAGCCCCGAGCTTGAACTAAATGAAGATGTGGATGAAAGACTAGAGCTCGGATATTCACTTTCGGTGCCAGTAGGCGTACCAGGGAAGGAGGAAGGATTGGACAGTCTAATTCCAGAGTCGCTCAGAGTGCCGGAGAGTGGGGCAGCGCTAGGAAATTTACTACTGGAATCATGTCCAGAACCTATGAAGGTGGAAGAGTCTGCAGTTCTACTTCCAGAGCCAGAGAAAGCACTGGAGAATTGAGTCTTGCCAGCAAGGATCACAGGAACTCCTTCAATGACTTGAACAGGGGGCACAGAGTCTGTTTTCGTGGAAGTAGATGAAAAAGCAGAGGCGGAGTCTAACCCAGTTGAAGAAGAGGATGGGATATTAGAGCTAGAACTTGATCCAGTTGATACTCCTAAGGCAGACAATCTATTACCAGAGCCAGTAGGAGCACCAAAGGTGGTAGAACCGAATGATCCAGCAGGTACACTTTGGCCAGAGAGGACCACTGCTACACCTTTGACCACATTTACGGATGATCGAGAGTCTGATCCAGTCGAAGAACTTGAGAGCCTGGAATCTGAGCTTAATCCAGTAGATGTAGATGGAAAACTGGAGCTAGAGACTGATCCAGCCGAGGAAGATGATGAAAACCCAGAGGTAGACAATCCATTACCAGAGCCAGCAGACCCAGAGAAGGTAGAACTAGACGATCCACTTCCTGAAGCACCGGAGAAGGCAGCCTGACCACGAGTATCCCCAGCAGGGACGCTTTGATCAGCCAGTTTCACTACTAATCCCTCAACAATCTGACCAGGTGACCCGGAGCCAGATCCAGTTGAAGAAATGGATGAAAACTTAGAACTGTCACCTGATCCAGTTGATGAGGTGGACGAAAACCTTGAGGTGAAGACTTTGTTTTCAGAATCTCTAGAAACACCAGAGGAAGTGGAAGTTCCAATTCCAGAACTAATGGAAGTACCGGAGAAGGCAGCCTGACCATGAGAACCTCCAGTTTGGGCACCATGGCCAGCCAGGATCACTGCTACTCCTTTACTGACCTGACCAGAAGACCCAGAGCCTGATCCAGTGGAAGTGGAAGAGAACCTGGAACCAGTGCTTAATCCAATTGAGGAGGTGGACGGGAAACTAGAACCTGATCCAGATGAAATGTCTGGGAATCTAGAGGAGAAGCTATTACCAGATCCAACAGAGTCACGAGCGTCACTGGTAGTGCCGGAGACGATAGTTTGACCGCTACTAACTCCAGCAAAACCACTTTCACTGGTTAATTTCACTGATACTCCTTCAGCAATCTGACCAGATGATCCAGAGCCAGATCCAATTGAAGAAGTGGATGAGAATTTAGAACTATCCACCTGATCCAATTAAAGTGGACGAGGACCCCGAGTCAGAGCTGAATCCGGTTGAAGTGGATGAAAACCTGGAACCGAAGCCTAATCCACTTGACGAAGTGGAGGGAATACTGTGGCTAGAGCCAGATCCACTTGAGTGTAAAACCCTGTTATCAGTGCCAGCAGAGCTATAAAATGAAGTGGGTGAACCGGACGATCCACTTCCAGAACTAAAGGAAGTTCCGGAGAAGGCAGTTTGACCATGAGAACCTCCAATTTGGGCACCGTGGGCAGCCACGAACACTGCTACACCACCATGCTGATCAGATAACTCGGAATCTGATCCAGTTGAAGTTGATGAGAACGTAGAACTGTCACTTGATCCAGCTGTAGAGGTGGATAAGAGCCTTGAGTCAGGGCTTGATCCAGGTGAAGATGAAGAAAACTTGGAATCAGAGCCTAATCCAGATGAAGGGGTGGAAAGGGAGCTAGAACCTGATCCAAACGAAGAAGTTGCTGAAAAGCCAAAGCCAGCAGAAGTACCTGCAGAGCTAGATAATCCACTTACAGAATCACTGGAAGTACCGGAGAAGGCAGAATGGCTATGAATACTTCCAGCAGGGGTACCACCTTGACCGGCCAGAGTCACTGCTACATCTTCAGTGACCTGACCAGATGACCCAGAGTCTAGTCCAGTTGAAGATGAGGATGAGAACATTGAATCAGGGATTGAGCCAGTTGGAGATGTGGATACAAGCCCTAAAGTACCAGAGCCCGATCCAGACGAAGTGGTAGAGAGTAAGTTAGATTCTGATCCAGTTGAAGAGCCGGATGGAAATCTGGAGGTGGAATATTTCTTGACAGTTTTAATAGCTGCATCAGAGGTGGAGAAGCTGGAGGATTCACTTTCAGAATCACTGGAAGTACCGGAGAAAGCAGCCTGACCATGAGCACCTCCAGCAGGAGGTGATTGACTAACCATGGTAACTGATACACCTTCATTCACCTGACCAAAGGTGGTCCCAGAGCCTGATTCAACTGAATCAGGGCTTGATACGGTTGGAGAAGTGGATAAAATTCCGGAACTTGAACCAACTGAACTCGATGAGAGCTTGAAATCGGAACTTACTCCAGTGGTAGAGATGGATGGGACATTAGAAACGGAGTCTGATCCAGTTGTAAATCTGGAAGTGGAAAAGCTGTTACTAGAGGTGGGACTGGAAAATTCACTTCCAGTTTCACTGGAAGTGCTGGAGAAGGCAGCTTGGCCAGGAGTACCTCCAGCAAGGACACCTTCACTAGCCAGATTCAATGCTGCTCCAACAACTTGACCGGATGGCACGAAGCCAGATTCACTTGCGCCAACCGAAGAAGTGGACGAGAACCTTGTGCCAGAACTTAATCCAGTCGAAGAATCAGATGAAAATTTTGATTCAGAGCTGGACTCGGCTGAAGAAGACTGGAGTTGTGAACCAGAGACTAATCCAGGTGAAGAGTTATGGCTCAAACTAGATCCACCTGAAGAACTAGAAGCTATATTAGAGCTAGCAGAAAGATCAGTTGAGGGGGAACTGGGAATTCCACTTCCGGTACTAATGGAGGCTCCAGAGAAGGAAGCCTGACCATGGGAACCTCCAGTTTGCGCACCTTGGCCAGTCACGAACACCGCTACACTATCTGCAACCTGACCGGATGACCCAGATTCTGATCTAGTAAAAGTAGTTGAAAGTCCCGAGTTAGAGGTTGATGCAGCTGAAGTGGATGACAGTCCCGAGTCATGACTTAATGCAGTTGAAGTGGTTGAGAGCCTCGATCCAGGGTTTGATGCAGCTGAAGTGGATGAAAATCTGGAATATGGGCCTAATTCTGATCCAGGTAGAGGAGCAGAAAACTCAGATGTGGAAAATTCATTACCAAAGCCAGCAGAAGTATCAGTAGAAATGGTGGAGGGAACACTTCCAGTACCACTGGAAGTATTGGGGAAGGCAGCCTGACCGTGAGTACCTCCAGTACTAGTTCTTTGACCAGTCACACTCACATTATCGGACCTGACCAAAAGCTAACTCAGAGCCTGATCTAGTGGAACTAGCGGAGAGGGAGCTAGAGCCTACTCCAGTTGAAGAGATCGGATATTCATTACCAGAACCAGCAGAAGCATCTCTGGAGAAGACAGCTTGTCCTTGAACCCCTCCAAGTTGTGCAGCTTGTCCTTGAACCCCTCCAAGTTGTGCAGATTGTTCTCGAACCCCTCCAAGTTGTGAAGCTTGTTCTCGAACCCCTCCATGTTGTGCAGCTTGTCCTTGAACCCCTCCAAGTTGTGCAGCTTGTCCTTGAACCCCTCCAAGTTGTGCAGCTTGTCCTTGAACCCCTCCAAGTTGTGCAACTTGTCCTTGAAGCCCTCCAAGTTGTGCAGCTTGTCCTTGAACCCCTCCAAGTTGTGCAGCTTGTGTTTGAACCCCTCCAAGTTGTGCAGATTGTTCTCGAACCCCTCCAAGTTGTGCAGATTGTTCTCGAACCCCTCCATGTTGTGCAGCTTGTCTTGAACCCCTCCAAGTTGTGCAGCTTGTCCTTGAACCCCTCCAAGTTGTGCAGCTTGTCCTTGAACCCCTCCAAGTTGTGAGGCTTGTTCTCGAACCCCTCCATGTTGTGAGGCTTGTTCTCGAACCCCTCCAAGTTGTGCAGCTTGTTCTCGAACCCCTCCAAGTTGTGAGGCTTGTTCTCGAACCCCTCCATGTTGTGAGGCTTGTTCTCGAACCCCTCCATGTTGTGAGGCTTGTTCTCGAACCCCTCCAAGTTGTGCAGCTTGTCCTTGAACCCCTCCATGTTGTGAGGCTTGTTCTCGAACCCCTCCATGTTGTGAGGCTTGTTCTCGAACCCCTCCATGTTGTGAGGCTTGTTCTCGAACCCCTCCATGTTGTGCAGCTTGTCCTTGAACCCCTCCATGTTGTGAGGCTTGTTCTCGAACCCCTCCATGTTGTGCAGCTTGTCCTTGAACCCCTCCATGTTGTGAGGCTTGTTCTCGAACCCCTCCATGTTGTGAGGCTTGTCCTTGAACCCCTCCAAGTTGTGCAGCTTGGCTGGCCACAGCTGCCCCTCCAGTGACCTGAGAGATGATCCAGAGTCAGATCCAGTTGAAGCGGTTGAAAATTTAGAACCGGAACTTAATCCGGTTGAAGTTTTGGAGGAGAACGCAGATGTGGAAAATTTCTTTTCAGAGCCGGCAGAAGTATCAGAGGTGGAAAAACCAGTGGATCCACTTCTAGAAGCAGTAGCAGCACCGGAGGTGGATGCCTGACTAGGAATACCTCCAACAGTAGCACCCTGGCCAGCCAGAACTACTGCCACTCCTCCATCGAACTGACCAGATGAGCTTAAGCCTGATTCGGCTGAAGAGATGGATGAAAACCTGGAGGTGGATGGATCAGAGATGGAGGAATTAGATAATTTATGTCCAGCATTGCTGGAAGTACTGAAGGCCGCTGGACCATGGGTACTTACAGCAGGAAAACTCTGGCCATCCTGGCGGCTTGGTGCTTCACCTTTACTGGCTTGACCTGATGATAACCCAGAGTTGGAACCAGTTGAAGAAATAGACGAGAACTTTGAGTCCGGTCTTGATCCAATTGTAGAAGTGGATGAGAACCTGGAACCGGATCCAGATGAAGTAGTGGCGAAGGAGCTAGAGCCTGATCCAGTTGAAGATATGGATGAAAACCTAGAGGTAGAAAATCCAGTATTAATTTTGTTAGAAGTAGCGGAACTGGATGATCGGCTTCCAGAATCAATGGAGGCACTGGAGACGGCAGCCTGACCAGGGGCTCTTCCAGCCAAAACCACTGCTACTCCTCCAGACGATCTGGAACCTAGTCCAGTTGAAGAGACAGATGAGAGCCTCGATCTAGAGCCTGATCCACTTGGAGAAGTGGACGAGAGCCTGGAAACTGAGCCTGATCCAGCTGACGTGGTGTGGAGGGAGCTAGAGTCTGATGTAGGTGGCGAAGGAGATGACAACCTTGAGGTGGAAAATCTACTGCCAGAGCCAGAAGAAGCACCAGACAAGGTGGAGGAACTGGCTGATCCCGTTCCAGAATGGCTAGAAGCTCCAGAAGTAGCCTGACCACGAATACTTCCAGCAGGGGTACCGTGACCAGCTAGGATCACTGCTACTTTTCCAGTCTCTTGACCAGATGTCCTGGAAGCTGATGGGATGGAAGCTAACCCGGAGCTACCACCTGATCTAGTGGCAGAGGTAGCCGGGAGAGTTGAACCAGAGCCCGATCCAGTTGATGAGAACCTTGAAAAAGAGCCTGATCCTGCTGAAGTAGTGGACGAGAGCCTAGTGCTGGAGCCTGGTCCAGTCGAGGAGGCGGATGAAAGCTTAGATGCTGAAAATTCATTACCAGAGTCGGGGAAAGCATCAGATATTCTTGAAATGCTGGACGACCCGCTCTCATGATCGCTAGACTCGCTGGACAAGGCAACTTGGCCAGGAGTAACAACCTCAGGAACTCCTTGACCATCCAGGATCCCTGGCACATCGTCTACCTGATCTGAAGATGACCCAGAGCCTGATCCAGTTGGCGAAGAGAGCCTAGAGCTGGAACCCGAGCCTTTAGCTGTGGCTGAAACACCAGTGGCTGAAGGGCCAGCTCTACGAGGAACGCCACCCTGGAGGTTAAGAGATACTTTTTGAGAAGTCGTGGGACCTGACAATTTGTTTCCGGAAGAGAAGCTTGCCGAACCACTTCCAGAACCCCCGGAAGCTGTGGAGAAACCTACTGATTCACTTATGGTTCCACTGGAAGTAGAAGAGTCAGTCGATCCACTTCCAGATCCTCGGGAAACAGTGAATTCTGTTGAGTCACTTCCAGAACTTTTCGAAGAACCGGTAGCAGCAGAGAAGCCTGTTGATCGACTTCCAGACCCTTGTGAAGAACCGGAAGCAGCAGAGTAGCCTGCTGATTCACTTCCAGAGCCTTCTGAAGAACCGGAAGCAGCAGAGAAGCCTTCTGATCGACTTCCAGAACCTTGGGAAGAACCGGAAGCAGCAGAGTAGCTTGCTGATTCACTTCCAGAGCCTTCTGAAGAACCGGAAGCAGCAGAGAAGCCTTCTGATCGACTTCTCAGAACCTTGGGAAGAACCCGAAGCAGCGGAGAAGCCTGATGACGACCCGACGGAAGAGGCAGAATTCCCACGGTGGATCACTGGTCGGAAACCTCTCTCATCAGCTTCGTACTCAACAAGGAAAGTCTCTCCGTTGGGAGCCGTCCACCTGTCGGGCCGAGAGGACAGATGATCAGCTCATAGCAGATGCCTTGTACACCTCAGAGAACCACACACGAGCGCTTGCTCACTCATTCACTCTCTCACATACACATATGAGGGAGGACATATTAATGGGTGTCAGATTGCCACCTCTTATGAAGTGATCTAGTGTGTGGGACGAGCCTTAGGTGCCCTTAATGTACTGGGACGCCCCCCCCCTTTCCCAGTTTGCTAGTTCCTGTGTGTTGGGATTGCTAGCCTTAGAGATGACTTACTGAATATTGGAACCAGCAGATCTGAGGTGACACAGCCTTCTGGAACTGAGAGGGTAATCCTAGTATTGGACCCCAGGCATCAACACCCAGATCGATCCTCACAGAGCTGTTTTGTGGAGGGTAAGAGATCTATTGACCACCACCTGAGATCTAACCCTTAACACCACCAGCAAAGGGATCTTATGGTAGGGGATGAGGATAAAAGTGAAAACCCCCCAAAAAAATAATAACGGGAAAGAGAATAGGATAGAGATGAGGGGGGAAATCAGGATGAATACAAAAGGGCATCACCAAAAGCCTTGTTACATGTGTGTTAAGGTGTGGGATGGAAGCTGGAAGCTACTGGATCTCTTAACTGAAGATTTAAAAAGTAAAATTAATAAGGAAATTGCATGAAAAATCACATGAATTCAGGGAAGAGGCAGAGAGGAAGAACCAGACAACGAGTCAAGAGACACACTTGCTAAGAGGAGAGGCGGAACGAGAATGAATGATAGGTAATGGGTGATAGGTGCTGAGAAAAAGAAATAATAGAGTAAAAAAATGAAACACTGGAAACAGTAAGGAAATGGAACCTCTCAGGCAATGAAGCATTGAGAAAATAACGAAAAAAATGAAGACAGTGAAGGTTATTGTTAATGAAGAGACACTACAGTGCATCAAGACGAACACACACACACACTTCCTTAAAAAGCAGAAAGAGAGAGGAGTAAGCATGTTAGACAGTTGACTCACGAGTAAGGACCCAGGTCACTGGTTGCAGGCTTGTATCTTCGTGAGGGGCTGTTGCATATTCACTGTGTCGGATTGACTCAGCGACAACTGTGAAACGTTCGCCGGTACGATTGACACGACTGTGCCGGTCGTCGATGTTGTGTTGCTGGTTGTCGTGTTGGTGGGCTAGTCCATCCAACTTAGCTGCCACAGCCACACCCACCAGAGCCAAGAGCACCACCTAGAACATTGAGCGAGAGCAAATGAGAAGGGAAGCTCTCGCCTTTCCTGGTTTTAATGAATACGCAGTGTGTTTTTATTTTTTTTTTAGTTGCCAGTTGTCAAAGGCACTTGTCGTTTAGATAGACGTTTGCCTGAGTGAGTGTGCTTTTTTGTACGCGTGGTGTGTGTGACGTATGTGTGGTGTGTGTATATGTGTGTGTGTCGTATATGTATGTGTGGTGTGTGTATATGAGATGTGTATTCGTATATGTTTGTGGTGGTGTGTGTATATGTATGTGTGATGTCGTATATGTATGTGTGGTGTGTGTATTGTGTGTGTGTTGTATATGTATGTGTGGTGTGTATATGTGTGTGTGTGTTTTTATATGTGTGGTTGTGTGTATTGAGTGTGTGCCGGTATATGTATGTGCGGTGTGTGTGTAGTATACTGTATGTGTGGTGTGTGTATATGAGTGTGTGTCGTATATGTATGTGTGGTTTGGGTGTGTTCGTATTTGTGTGGTGTGTGTATTTGTGTGTCGTTATGTGTGTGGTGTGTGTGTATATGAGTGTGTGTCGTATATGTGTGGTGTGTATATGAGTGTGTGTCATATGTGTGTTAGTTACCAAGTTGTCCTAGGCACATGTCGATTAGGACACTAGGCTTGTTGTACATGAGTGTGTGTGCATCATATACTATATTTTTATATATATATATATTATTATTATATATATATATTATATATTTATATAATTTTTATACTTATATATATATATATTTATATGTGTTGTGTGTGTGTGTGTGTGTGTGTGTGTGTGTGTGTGTGTGTGTGTGTGGTGTGTGTGTGTGTGTGTGTGTGTGTACTCACCTTATTTTACTCACCTAATTGTGGTTGCTGGTGTCGAGACTTCAGCTCCTGGGCCCCGCCTCTTCACTGATCGCTACTAGGGCCTCTCCCTCTCTGCTTCCTGAGCTGTCATACCTCTTCTTAAAACTATGTATTGGTTCCTTGCCTCACTACTTCACTTGCTAGGCTATTCCCACTTGGCTGAGAATCTATGAAAAAAAAAAAAAAAACTGGAAGAATACTTCCTAACGTCTTGTGGGACTCGTCTGAGTCTGCAGCTTCCAGTTGTGACTCCTTGTTTTCTGTGTCCCCTCTCTGGAACATCCTATCTCTGTCCACTTGTCTATTCCCCGCAGTATCTCTATTAAGTTGTTTATCTGGCTCCCCTGACCCTTCTGTCTCAGTGTCGTCTTGTCTTCGCTTTCACTCAACTTTCCTCGTACGACATTCCCATGAGATTGGGACTAGCTTGCTGCAAACTTTGTACTTTCTCTAATTCTTGACGTGCTTCTTGACCAGGTGTTGGGTTCCAAAAACTGTTGCTGCATACTCCAGTATGGGCCTACATACACAGTGTACAGTGGTCTTGAACGATTCCTTATTAAGTAAACGGAACGCTTTCTCGGGTTTGCCAGGCGCCCTTGCATACACTCTGGGTCCTTCTTGCCCTACCCAGTCTTCATGACTTTGCATTTGCAGGGTGAATTCGGGTGAAGCCTGTTTCTGGACCACATGTCAGCCTGTGTGTGTGTGTGTGTGTGTGTGTGTGTGTGTGTGTGTGTGTGTGTGTGGTGTGTGTGTGTGTGTGTGTGTGTGTGTGTGTGTGTGTAAAGACCCTCCACCTGGACACAATAAAGATGAGAACAATATCCTCAATGGCACTGCATGACCCGACATCCAATTCTGACCTAATTTATCTGATTTATAAGGGTGACCTGATACCCACGTGTATTGAGGAGATAAACACTGACCTGAGCACGAATTGCCCCGATTTAAACAACCCGCTGCCTTACAATAACCAAATAAAAGACTTGTTGCAGAACAAGCATTTATAAGGACAATGTTTACCATATACTCGCTCGCTTCTCCTACCTGTTGAACTTTTCCCTCACAATGTCTGTAGTACCAGCTTGAACAAACTTAGTGCAGATGAAAACCTTTAAGATCTTGACTAAGTCGTACTGAAGATTCAAAACACAGGATTATAATTACTCCTTGCCTCCTAGTACAGGTGTTTGTATTTTTATTTTGCATTTTATGTATGACTTGATAAACACGTGAAAGGAACGAAACGTAGTCCCATTAATTCTTATTCGGGTATAGTGTTTCTTTTTCTTCACGTACGACCTTGTTAATAAATCATCTTGTATAAATGTGAAGTTTACGAATTACACAAAGGTCCATGTGTCTTCCATTTGTCTTCTGCTGAAGGATATTTGTTTATTTACAAGTGCTTTTCTATGTACCAGAGTTTCCAGTGTTCAGTGTACCAGTGTACCGTGGTACCAGTGTATGTAGTGCATGGAGGCCTCGTGGTGGTCACACGCATGATAACTATTGTTTAACTTGTTGATGACATTGTTGATTAATATCGGTCATGCAGTTACTGTTATACTAATAAACCAACTACCACAACCTCTCCTTGCCACTAAACACACACCACTACCATCCCTGCCACTAACCCACCACTATACTCCCTGCCACTAAACCCACACTTCATGCCACTAACACAACACCACCACCTCTCCCTGCCATAACAACCACCACCATCCAAACTCCCTGCCACTAACACAACCACCACCTCTCCCTCCACTAACACAACCACCACCTCCCATCCCTGCCACTAAAACAACCACAACAACACCACCACTCCCTGCCACTAACATACCACAACACAACCACTCTCCTGCCACTAACACAACCACTACACCCATCCCTGCCACTAAACAACACCACCCCACTCCCTGCCCACTAACACAACCACCACCACTCTCCCTGCCACTAACACCAACTCACACCACCACTCCTGCCACTAACACAACCACTCCCTGTCACAAACAACAACCACACCACTCTGCACTAACACAACCACCACCACCACTCCCTGCCACTAACACAACCACACACTCCCTGCACTAAACACAACCACCACCACCACACTCCCTGCCACTAACACTGCCACTTAACACCACCACCACAAACCACTCCCCCCTGCACCTAACCAACCACACTAACCACTCCCTGCACTAACAACACCACCACCCACCAATCCCTGCACACTAACACCACTCCTGCCACTAACACCCCCCATCCCTGCCACTTAACACAACCACCACTACACTCTATGCCATAAAAGCACACAACTACCACTCCTGCCACCAACACAACACCACTACCACTCCCTGCCACTAACAACCACCACCACCACTCCCTGCCACTAAACACCCCCACTCCTGCTACTAACACAAACCTACCCTACCACTCCCTTGCACTAACACAACCACCACTACCACTCCCTGCCATAACAACCACCGCCACCATTCCTGTCACTAACCAACCCCACTCCCTGCCACTAACACCCACCACTCCCTGGCCACTAACACAATCACCACTACCACTCCCTGCCAACTAACACAATCACCACTACCACTCCCTGCTCACTAATCACAACCACCACTCCCATGCCATTATACTAACACCCTAACACAACACTCCCTGCCACTTAAAACACCCCCCACTCCCTGCCACCTAACTAACCCACTACACAACCACCACTACACATCCTGGCCACTACAACCACCATCCACCATTCCCTGCCAATAAACACCCCCACTCCCTGCCGACTAACAACCACCACTACCACTCCCTGCCACTAAA